ACACACACACACACACAAACACACTCACATACACACACACATACACAGCGAGGTCGTCACAATATGCGTTTTAGTATTCGCATATAAGCAAAAACGCATAAAAATGATGTAGACGCCACGCCACTCGAGAAGTCAATTTAACTGCAAAAAAGCGCGGCAATAAAAATTAGCGCAAAAAGTCAATGTCAGAACTAGGTGTTTTGTTTCGGACTGGAAATTTATTTGATTTCAAGCTGTATCTCACGCTACCCGTGAATGTTCGTTGCGTGAAAGAAGACTGATAAACTGAAGTACTCTTTTCATACTTTTTCTCTTAAAAAATGCTTGGAGCATTCTTCAGCCAAAATGATAAAAACAAAGAAGAATTATCTAATGAACACTTAAGAAAGAAATAGTTGTATCGGAAGGGGATCGCGAAGCGGTTGTCGCACTGCACCAGATGCCACAAGACCGTGACGATACTCTTCATGTTTGCGTGCCGCCTCTCTACTGGTACTGGAATTATGCCGCATTTATACAGTTTATAGAGGTAATAGTTTCTGCAAGCTTTTGCTATTTGAGGAACACTTTAACTCTTCTGTATCGATTTTGTCATCCATGATAAATTTCGTCAAAATTTATGAGTCCAGGAGAAGTTAATTACTGAATTTTTTACTGTATTCACGTTTCCCGTTTCTTCCAGAAAGTGAGTGTTCGTTTTTTTTTTTTTTTCAAAAAGTCTGAACATTCTCTCAAAATTATATTGAAACCCTGTCAACGTCATTTGTCAAAAGCACTAAATTCTGGTGTGACATGTAATCACAGACAAATACAGAGCACTGAGTTTAGGGGAGGGAGTGCTGCAGCAAAGGATTCTCAGAGTGACCCTTTCTGACCTTATAAACATTCAAATTCTTAATCAGATTAGCGATGTGCAACCCACTGTTGTGGATATGCAAGAAAATAAAGTACGATGGGGAGGGCAGTGGTACTCCCAACACAGTAAACGATCGCTCGCACATCGATCAGATGGCAGGCACTGATTGGCGGCATACTTCTGTGAACCGAACAGGAGTGACATGATCGGGCCCACTAACATTGGATCCCAGTCTAAATAACGGATAATGTTTCATTTCTGGTGTTTTTCTTTTTTTTTTTATTTACCACTTGTGAAAGCTGAAATTTATGCAAAAATATGTTGTTGCCATGAATTGCGTATACACTGCAAATATTTCCCAGGAATTCGCTTTCGCTGATAGCACAGTTCTTTCGTGCTTTGACTAATCACAGTCAAACTTCATGATGAAGTAATTATTTGTGTCATATTTTCTAGAATTAGCGAGCATTTTAGATCTGGCGAATGCACGGTGCAACATTCTTCTATATTTATTATGAATCAGTAAGCGCGCAAGTGATGGATGTTCTACGGATTTATGAAAACATGGTACATGTGCACTTTGCAAATTTGTGAAGCAGATGAACTGAGCGACGAGGCATGATAAGCGTGCAATGTGCACTAGCAAAAGACAGTGCAGTGGACTGCGCAAGAGCATCTTATTACAGGGTGTGATCCAGATAATCCGTTGGCAGATGATGCCATGGTCAAAATCTGTGGATCCCAACCGGTGGATCTATCGTTTCGGGCATACGCTCAGTTTCAATGATTGCGCATGTCGTACTACAGCTAAATATGTCGCGCTTGTCGACACTGATGAGTTCATCATTCCCAGGTTGGAGTGCCGATCAGTTTTCGCTACCAGTTCCAGCGAGCATCTAATTTGATGTGCTGATTACTGGTGAAGTCGCATAGAGTTAACACTTATTGATACGTAGATGTACGTTAAATTTGTGTTTGCGCTTCTTAACAGAAAAAATAAAAGTAAACAAAAAAAACAAACAGTTTTTTGCGCTGGTTACTGCTGAAATCAAATGGACTTGATATATTGTGGTAGGACATGAGCATCGTACTGTTTATGTAAATTTAATCGTCACCAAAGCACCTTGCTTGTTTCAGCACTGGTATACTGCTCTCATATCTGCGGCAACAGCATGCAAAGAATGATACTGCTGGCAGTTTTGTGTTCGAACACACGCGTGTCCGTTTTCAGGGCTACCACGAGTTTAAAATGAGGAAGAAACTGGATTTTGAGTGGCTTAAGGATGCCCAGTACCAATACAGGCCAGGACCGGCCAAAACGGTTTTCATGCCTGACAGGGTGCAAGTCATCACAACGCACAAGGTCCGCGAGTTTCGTAAACCACATAGATCGTATAGAGTAAGTTTTTCATGCCTTCAGTTCTTTCAATGTGCAAACCATGCATAAAAAACAGTAATTTATCAAAACTTCTGAAATATACAGTAAGGACTGGTGCTTTTGGAATATATCGGTAAGGAGCTGAAAGACAAAATTATATTATATTTCCAATACGCTTTATCTCTCTTTCCCTCCCTTTCATTCCTCCTTCCTCCCCAAAAAGCACGACTGGGGTGGGTAGATTCTCAAGATTCCCTACTGCTACGAAACACCGTCAGAGAAAAGGATTAAGAAAACGGGTGAAACCCAAGACGTGGTATACTTTTCCCCTCCCAGACACATCAGAAAAAAGAAGTTGAAGGCATTGAAAATAAAAGTACTACAAAGTACCGGTACAATTACAGCCAGACTGCAGAAAGGCTGTGTTGACTTGGAAGAAATTGCTAGTAATGCATGTAATCGTAGTTGAAATGTGAGTGTGTTTGTCAGTCTCCAGGCATAAATTACGCAGCGTCGCCGATATTCTCAAAGTGTCTGATCAGAAGGTGGATGTCTCACATCAGTGAGTGGCATCCGAGAGAAAGCAAACGGCCGGCCCAGCGGATCAAGAAGAGACAGCGCCCATAAGCTGAATCAAGTAGCTTATAACAAATGCGCCCGGCACAGCTTTGCGCGACGTGTGGGGTATCCAACTATTTTGGCAGAATCCTCATCAATTGCTTACATAGCAGCTTGCATTTAAGGTACCTCGATCGGTGATATATGACTTTTTGCATTTAACGGGAAGAAGAAACGCGCGCATACACACATCGTAACCTGTTTATGTATGAAACTGATAGGTGTTTACGTCTTTTATATCATAATTCAGAAAAGCATAAAATTTCGCAGGCTCACAATCTGCATGAGAAGCTCTAAGTCTCTGATGTGGCGTTAGATCTAAAAACAATGAACATAAGCTGACCCCAATTAATTAATAACAAACTGAAAAGATGCTTGTGTAGCGTATGAAACTGCAAATGTCTCATTAATGGGTTGTCAAACGCAACAACTATGGACTCATTTGCAACTAATCCCCAGTTATGAAACATTAGAATTCTACAAGCTGTGTTTTTAATGTGTTAGCGAAAAAGTTCTTTCTCGCTTATGCTTCAAAAATCGAAATCCACTTGGAATTAGCGCTACTTAATCGCAGTAACACCTTGGTGGGGCGACGCTTCGTCTACATTTTTCTCCAACTTTTCAGCTACTTTAAATCCTCGCCCAATTTACAACCTCCGACAGTAATTTATCCACACCGTTCAGAACAATTTTCGCCTCTACCCGGCGACTTTGATGTACGCAAAAGACTGCGGTAACACCTGGATTTGTTTCCACATTTGGCGAAATATTTTCAGGTAGATAGAAATGACGCGCTATTGTACCATGCTCGTTCTAACTGGGTTTTCACCACACTCCTGAATAAAACCTACAATTCAACTAATAAATTCAAAAAATATGTTACGCCGGTTTTCAAACAATACGAAAGTATATTATCCCAAGTATCGTGGCCCGAACGGAATCTTATTAATATATGGAAAAGTCATTCCGGAAAGATTGAAAAATGCCTTAGCGAGTAAGTATTTGCTCTGTTTGTAGGTGCAAAAGACAAGCTATTCCATGAAGCACGTTTCCAGCTAATTAACAAGTGTTAATCAATAGATTCTATTCTGTCCTCATTGAAACGTTGACTTTTCCTAGCAGTCACATTCCATCACTGCAGTATTTCAAGTACAGTGATGCAGGACTGTGTGTTCAGTCTCTTCACTTGGGCATGTTGTGAGCATCGAAGCTGCTATGAAATTTTCCCGTATTTTTGAAGAGAACAAAGAAATTTTTCGGCATAATTAAAACGCATGCTTTTTAGATGGCGAAAATATGGTTGCAAAGTGCCATATCATCTGTGTTGGCAAGCCATGAAGGATCAGGAGGACTGGATTTTCAGCCATACGAATGTGACGAACGAATATACTGTGTTGTGATTTTTCTGCAGTTTAGAAATTAATGGATGGCCTTTTAATGCATGTTTTTGAATTCAACATATTCCATACCAAAACAGTTTTATAAACTGTTGTAGCTATTCAGCGTTGCCTGGTTGGCTTCAAATTTTCCATAAATACTGAGTATTAAATAAAAGCGCGGCTGAGCAACAACGAATTCATATAAAGTATTTTTTGTTGTTAGCGTCTGTGGCTCTATATTTTTTATTAACAACTCGTCCATGTTCTTGTAAATTTGCGCAGAACTCATTCATTTTTGAGTGAAACGTGTCATTTCTGGTTGCCCTTCCTGATGCCTGTTAATTTGAATTAAAACCTTGATCAAGAGAATGATTGTTTTTGATTGGCAACACGGATCGCCTTGTGCTTGATGAAAATTGAATTAGTGCTTAATGATGAACCGGTGGCAATCTGCATCTCCATAAAAAGAACTGACAACTCACTCTGTAATTTCCCCTCAGTCAGGATTAACTTCGGTTTTTTAGCTGACTTTCGAGAAGGATGAAGCCGGATGGAGAAGTCCGTCATTAATATATATTTTTATGCATTTTTGCAAGTATGCTAATGCAAAAACGCATATTGTAGCTGTCCGTGGTGTGTGTGTGTGTGCATGCGTGTGTGTGTGTGTGTGTGCGCGTATGTGCGTGTGTGTGCGTCTGTCCGACACCTTAGTTCAACAACAAGCA